TGTGTGTGTATGTGTATGTGCTTACGTCGTGTGTATGTGTGCATTTTTATCACCCACTTTCAACTTAGCAACCAGAGAAACTAGGAGATTGAAATTTTTGGAGCTCATTCCCTCTTCATGTGCGATGCCTCATTTTTGGAATCATTGTTCATGTATTTTCGGATCTCCCGTATCGACACCTAAAAGAATTCATGCGATTTTTGGCATGGCGAAATTTAGGGGACTAGACGAGCTAGAAAGCCAAAATTTTTGCGGGCGCGTTCCCTGTGCATGCGTAATCTGAAGACTTCAAACTTAGCTCTTATGTATCCCAAGTCAAGGATATGTCAAAATTTGTTGCGCCATGTCGACTTGAGAATCAGCCGGAAGACGATAATAACTGAAACTAGTGCGAATATTTACCGTCGATATGAGGACTCTGCTAATTAAACTAACTTTTGAACTGCATTTGTGCCACGCGTAAAGGCACTTCAAAAATAGTTCTGGCGAAATAGCGATTTCGAGAACCGAATAAGCTAGGAATTTGGAGTTTTACAAGGGTATTCCGAGTCTGTATGTGAGTTGATCTTAAATTCTGTTTCTAAGCATGTTTACGACTCGAGTTATGCGCAGGTAAAACTTCATTTTTGGAATTTTAGCACTTATTTACTCTGCAGCCAGGCTAATCAGGAAAACGCACTTTTTAGAGGATATTTACTGTCTCTGTGCAGGCCTGTAAGCATAAAATTAGCTTCTGCTTTCGCATATGCCATGCATACGGACGCATCAAATTTTCAAACTGCGACACTTTTGTCATCCTTCTTTTTCAGCAATTAAGTTGCCAAGAAAGCGGAAATTTTACGGGAACGCTGATTTATCTTTTGCGTCACTGAGAGTGTAAAGACAGTATTCACAAATGCCGAAGTCTCATATTTGGGCATTGCGAACTTGAAGATGTGTTTTGCTGGCAATACCTTTGTGCCAAAATTTACGGCATTCATGTATGCCGAAGGCTGAGAACTCACATAGCCTTACGGTGCAACACTACCGTCCCAGCCAATGCCCTTCTTGAACACAAAAAAGACCAAAACATTCCCAACATAAATAGACATGTTAAACTGTAAAGCCGCAACCATAAACTATCATAAACTATTCGACTGCTTCAGGTTTAGCGCAAAAACGCATATTTGTACCGGAAACCCTGATGCACGTTGCTGGCTAAGTTTATGTTTTGCTTGTGGGTATTTGTCTTTCATTGAGTTCATTCCAGTGTATGCTAATAGTGATAGTCATAAGTACTCGTTTGGATTTTAAAAGTATTCAGTGAAAATACTGGCTGCTAGGCTTCCGGCCAGGTGCTCGGAAGTCTGTGATTGCGCTGTTCGGTGTGCCATTCACAAACTTTTCCAATTCTTTTCGCAGCTGTACGAGTGTGTTTTGACCACTAGTTAATTCCTCCTCCGTACTTTTCTTTCGATGAGAGGCAGGGCACTCGAAAATAGCCTCACTGATAACAGCAGCCATCAGCTGCAAGGCTGTCTGTGACTCTTTCTTCGGAGGGTTGCATGGGAGAAAGCTATTGTCAAGTTTGACCCTAACGTGCACTGTATGTCTATGTATCTTCTGAACGAATACGGCCGAATAATTAATGCGCATGTGCGATAAATTTATAGCTCCACTGCATGCTGGGCAGTTATTCGGAAGCGACAGTAGCGAGAATGAATCGAGCGATCCAGAGCCGGCGGACGAAGGACGACCACAACGAGCTAGTGGCGGCAATGCGCAGCTTATCAGCAGCAGCAATCGCGGCAACAGCAACCACCATTCCAGGGCTCGTTTTCCATTCCAGTAATTTCCAGTCTTGTTTCCTTTGCTCGATTTTTAGGTATAATTTGAACACCGTGTTGACCGGTCACAGTAGCATGGGGAAGTTCGTCAGATGTGTTTTACCTGCGGATACAAGAAGGTTCTGCCTCTCCGATGTGCCATTTCGCAGAAATACTACCGTACTCAGGAAGGAGGAGGTAGCGACCGTTGAACGGACTCTTGAAGCTTGGGGACGCCAATGCAAAGCTGAGTGATCACAGTTCTCCAGGAAGGCGGAAGTTGGCGATAGCTGCACATTTTCAAAGCAACTCATTTGTCATACAAAAGGGCAGAGTGGTATCCTCCATAATTTTGATGGGCAGGCTCTCTCTAAATTGATCCCAGAGTATCTGAGTAATCCGGACTGTGCTGTGTGTTTGGGCACTGGCTTTAAGATGAGCCGAACGGTATTGAACTGAATCTTTAGTAATATGTCCTTATCGATAACGAAGTGAAACGTAATTCGTTCGATAGCCATGATTTTGCGAGTTGTCGTCCTACAAGTGTGCTTTGGATAAAAACAAAGGAGACGAAGGGAGGGGCAAGGAAAAGTGGAAGTACAAAAGTTATGCGAAGGGGGAGGGATCAAGAGCTCTACCATCATCAAATTTTGTCATTAGTTATGCCAAAATGGAACTGTACTTTAATTTTGAAAACGCCACGTGAGCAAGTTTATTGGGCAAGGCGGGGAGAAGGGACGAGAAGCATCAGTGCAGCGCTATGGAAAACTTGTTTGTGAAGTGTGGTTCTGAACGCAGTCTCTTAATTTTTTTTTTCCGACTATCAATACAGTGCTTTTCCAATGTGAACGAGCTGCGTTTTCTTCTAGTACACGTAAAATCAGCAAATTTCCGATCAGGATCTATCGCTTTGGTCTCTTGTAGGTCCAGGGACTAGCAGAGTTCGTGTGATATATCGCACTTTTGGAATATTTGGCGGACTTGTGTGATCAGTTAAGGAGTTTATATCTGGTGCACAAAAGACTGTTGGATAACGAAATTATAATAATTACAGTTATCCTGTGATTGTAGAAAAGATTAGCCAAATTTGAGATATCAATAGCTTTACTCGACGTGCACTCTCAATACATTCACTAATCTAGTCTTGATTTCTGGATATGTTCTTAGTACCGATGAGGTGATGTATTTCAAACTGGCCATTGCGGATTTTAATCGGCTGGCACGTACGCGGCCCACTGCCCGTCCTTGGCATAATTCGTTCCAGTGGTTGCATGAGCACAAGGCAGAACGTCTACAACCACTGTTTCAGCAGCATCACCGCGGATCGCGTGCAAAACGGAACAAACGCGCAATGCGCTCCGGCGCAAATGCTGTAGTTAATCATCGGACCAAGCGGTACCAAATGCTAGCTGCGGTCGAAGCGAACACACGAACACGTGCTCACCCGACCATCACGGCAAGGCAGAACCAGGTTTGTCTCAGCTTAGAAAAACAACTCTTCAAGCTTGTTTTTATGCATTTTTGCATATTATGCAAAAGCAAAGTTTTTTTAGCCAATGGAAGGGATATTTGCAAAGCATAGCATC